TGGCCCTCCCCACTCCCCGGGACTCTGGCTGGCCCTCCCCACTCCCGGGGCCAGCGCTGGTCCTGCAGGGCCCTGACGTCCCTTCTCCATCTCCCTCTAGCGGAGAAGCACGGCCCCCGTGCGGCGCATAGAACACCTGGTAAGGGATGCTGGGAGCAGGAGGGGCTGGCAAGTGGCTCTGGGCTCTGGGCTCAAGAGACCTAGGTCTCTTCTGTTCACGAAAGTGGACGGAATGCTGGAGTGGGGAGCTGTGCTCCATCCTCTGGAGGAGCGGAGGGAGGGGCACACCCCAGAGACAGCCACGGGGTTTCTCACCCCAGGGCTCCACCAAGTCTCTGAACCACTCAAAGCAGCGCAGCACCCTGCCCAGGTAAGTGAGCGCCCCCCATCCCGCCTCAGTCCTCTGGCTGGCCCTGCGCCCCAGCCCAGCAGCGACCCCAGCAGGCCCCTCGGGACCGCCCCTCGAGCGTGCACCCCGAAGCCGCACGTGCGGGCGGCCACCCTGCCCCCAACACACACCCCCACCTCCCGGAGCCGCGCCCCTGGCATCCTCAGGCCGGCTGCGCCCCGCCCCCGCCCCCAGGAGCTTCAGCTTGGACCCACTTATGGAGCGGCGCTGGGACCTGGACCTCACCTATGTGACCGAGCGCATCCTGGCCGCCGCCTTTCCCGCGCATCCCGACGAGCAGCGACACCGGGGCCACCTGCGTGAGCTGGCTCACGTGCTGCAGTCCAAGCACCGAGACAAGTACCTGGTGAGGGGCGGGGCCTGGCGGCGCCGGCCAATGAGAGGGCTGGGAAGTCCCGCTGCCCGGCGGCCACTGGCGGGAAGTTGAGTGGGGGCGGGGCTGGTCCGGACCGCGGGGGCGGGGCTGGTCCGGACCGCGCGGCCAGCTGGACCTCAGCAGCTCGCTCTGGTTGGAGGTTCTTTGGGGGCACCACCGACACCCCGCACCATGGGTGATGCCAGAGGTCACTTCCCTCTAAGGTTCCCCTTTATTTGCAGCTCTTCAACCTTTCAGAGAAAAGACATGACCTGACCCGCCTAAACCCCAAGGTAGGAGGGGATGAAACTTACCATGGTGGACCCCGAAAGCGGACCCCTCCCACCCCAGGACCTCCTGTAGGAGCCGTGGGAATCTCTTTCCTTCTTACGCACTTTCACATGTCACCTGTTCCTGAGATGCTTTGTTCTGGCTTTGTATCAACCCGGCTTGGACAGCCACCAGCCCCTC